TTAGAGAAGTAGACTCGTTGTAGGACCCTCATTTTCGTAGCATTGCGGCATGCCGCCTCGTGCGATGAGAGATATCGCAAGCTCGTCCAAGCGCGTGTAAGAATGGCTTGCGCGCACGGGTTTAGGGCCAATTTTTTAGGCGAGGGCAGCATGCTGTGCGCTCGGAACCACTCCCTTCTCATGTTTGGGATGCAAGCAACCTTCCATTCGAAAATTTCGAGATGTTGGTTTTGCCGAGCCACTGCCTTCAAGGAATAGCTCTTGCATAGAATTAAAATGTTGTTACATCGTGCACGATCATTGTTTTTCTCACTTCTAATCTTTCGTTTAAACAGTTTGAAGAGCAATTTTTGGTGAAATTTGTATTCTCTAAGAGAAGTTCACCACGATGAATTGCGTATGAAAGCCTTCCGTTGCCTAGCGTATACTATATTCTTCGAAACCAATTGTGCACGTTTTTGGCTTTACCTTTACCAAAGCGGCATAAATGCTTGAATGCTCGAGTTAGCAAAGGAATTTTTTCGTTAGTAATTCCTGACAAAACATCAAAATACTTCATGCTCTTTCAAATTGTACTCAGGTTGAAGGTCAAACATATACAACAGAGTGATGCTTGAATCATTTCTACTAATTACCAACCACTACAGTCTTATCACTACAGTCCAAAAATGGTACTTGATCAAAGGTGGTGTATAAAGAGTGAAGTTTTTTTGGACCCTCATCTGAAACAATCCTCTTTGATATGCAACAAACTTGCTATGAACATCCGACCAAGTATCCTGACTTCTACAGGCAGAGTTGCACCAGAATTGATGCAGCGGATCTCCACATATATTGCCTCAAGACTTCATACCTCCTGAAATCCTGTTTGTGGTATTTTTTTATCTCAGTATACGATACTTTTATGTAATCTCATCCGCCATTCCATTTCCATCTAACCGCATATGTTGTATTATCTATCTCAGAGTGGCGGTCCCAGGATTTCGGAAGGGGGCCACTCCGAAAAAATTTTTTGGGGTGCTTCTCAAAATTTTTGCGGGTCCCTACCCCTAAAATCTGGAAAAAGGGGGCGTGGCGTCAACCATAAGACTAATTTGAATTTTTAAAAAATTTTAAAAAATTGTTTTAATTATTTACAAAAATCAAGTCGTTTGCACATTTTTATAACCCATATAGGTAAGTTTCGAAAAAATTTCGCGACGCATTCTCGAGGGGGGCGCCTCCTCCCCCCCCCACCGCCCCTCCCCCGCCCCCCCCCCCCCTCGGTCCGCCAGTGCTATCTCATCGTATATCATAGCTCTATATCATTGCATATCGAATGATATTATTATGATTTAAACCTTGCTGATGCTCATCTTTCTCGAGTAATCACTGTAATGCCTTCCGTTGATCTGAAGTCTTACGGTGCTTATGAATATTTCAAGCATGTATACACAATGCCATTCGCATACCTATTTTACTGCGTATTTGGTATTTAATAGTAGTTTGCCAAAGCATTTCTTTCGTTCGCTCCATACCTATATCTCCATGTGTCATAACGTTTTGCATTGTTATTTGTCACCGTTATAATGAATAAGTCGATAGTCATAGCGTTATAGCGTAAGCATAACAAGGAGCCTCTCAGACATTAGAGGTTTTCAGCCGGTAGCCACAAAGCCGCCGCCAAACCCCACCAAAAGCTCCGGGCCTTATCGTCTCACTGTCGCTTCTCCCTGAAAACCGTAGAAGCGAGAGGGCTACAAATATGGCACTGAGCGGGAAGCTAGGACTGGCAGCGGGCGGACTGCCATAAGGCCTTCAGCCCGAAGCGAAAGTGGAGGCGATAAGGCACAGAGCTTGTGATGAGGTCTGACGGTGCTTCTTGGCTGCCGGCTGAGAGCGTTTGAATGTCTGAGCAATTTTCTCGGCAGAATGAGGATGTCGCGCGATCGGACGTGGTCTGTCACCATATGAGAATTTCGATATGTTACAGTTTTGCCGAGCCACTATCTTCGTACATGTAGATAGCATGTCCTTTTCTGACACGAAGCAGAAGGTTGACACTACTTGTTTATTTGATAAAATGCGTCCGCAAGGAACAGTACCTGTATCGAGGCTTCTTACAAGATGACGAAAATCCTATTATTCTTTGACCGAGCAGGGGAGCAAGTTTCAGACAAATTCGAGTGTGCGCTGTGACATCAGCAGCAAATGAGTGCATTGTTCTTTTGTAACTCAATACGCGCTACCTCAGACTTGCAAGATTGTAACGTACTAATTTCCTGAAATTTCTCCTTGTTTTCTACTCTGTTTTAACTTGATCGGACATGTATTCGGTTGTGTAATAAGTTCGTTCGCATTTTTTGTTTTAGTTTTTTTCTCAATATTTTGCAAAGCATTTGGAGAGATGTTTGTATGTTCGGAAGCTCTAAGTCTGCTCTATCAAATTACTTTCATATTTCCTCAGTTCTTGAGAAGTTGTTTGAAAATTTTGACTGTAAATCGAAAAATCCGAAAAGGCGAAAAGTCCATTTTCGACATCTTTTTCTCGCTTAGTTTTTCCAGTTAATCACTGATAAAAATATTCAAAAGCCTAAAAACAATTAGAAACAACAGACTAATCACTTATGCACTTACTGGCGCTGCTTGTGCTTGCTCACTTCCTTTCACCGACAGTTTAATGCCATTTTTGCAAACGTCGGAGTAAGACTTTGCCGCAAAGGCGTTCGTCGTTTCGCGTAGCTGAGTTGTGTGCCCCGAAAACTAGGATTTTGGAGTAAGTAACCCATATATTTGATAATTTATGATCAAAGACTCCCTTGCCTACCACTTCTGTTATGTTCGACGACCCATCTTCTCTCAGGTGCCTTCAGATGCCCAACGTTGGCGCCAAAGAAACCGCAAAAAGCAAGCTTATCTTTGAGCTTGTAAATGGATTTTCATAACATTTTTGGTATTTATAAGTAGCTTGCAGGAGTTATGGCATCTTCCCCATACGTCGCAAATTTTTCGAGCTGTTTTTTAAGCGTACAATGCCATTCGAGACGCAGCAGAACATAGTTGTCGAAAATGAAATTTTCGCCTTCTCGGATTTTCTGCTTTGTAATCGAATTTTTCATTCAATTTATAGAAAATTGTCAAAATAAGAACATTCTGGTAGAGCAGACTTAGAGCTTCCAAAAGCTTACAAACATTTTGCCAGATGCTCTGCAAAATACTGAGAAAAAAACTGGAACAAAAAAATGCGAACGAACTTATTACACAACCTAATATAAAGTAGTATTGCAAATTTCCACAGTTCGTTCTCCTAGAAAAGGTTCTACTGACGAGTTAATAGCAAGGTGCTGTTGCTTGCCGCGTGCAGTGTGCAGGCTCACTTATCGAGTTAGCAATGAATCGCGCGTCACTTGCAGTCAACGCATTGACCACCCTGAGCAGGTTTCAAACACCGCAGAAACTATTTTTCACCGTATCTAACTCCTTCAACCTCTACAGTATCCACACAAATTCCCACCAACGCCAAACTGATGCACATATTCAGTGTACTAAGTAATCCGTTTGAAGGTCTGAGAAGATTTGTATAATTCAACTACCTACCTTATACCTAACTCAACTTGGCAGACTATGGCACTCCTACATATTGTAAGATCCCCCTCGCCAAACTAAGCCGTGCCCTTGGATTTGAAAATGGTCCACTCTGGATCGAGATAGGGCGGTCTACGCGAACTTTGGTAGCCACCGTCTGAGTTTGGCGGCTGCCACGGCTTTCACAAATTACTGTATTGTACAGCATATATCCGCGTGTGCTTCTGTATAGCGTGGATTTAAGGAGGAAACTCGTTACGCTTTTCCAAGACCGCCTCACCCACCTCCACATTTCTTACATATCGGCCTTATTCAAGGCACTCCAAAGACAGCCCTTTAAATCTTCCAGTCTCAGCATGGTATTCATAAGACAGAATTTTCAGCGTGTTCCAAATTTTTCTTAATTTCTCAACACTCTAAATGAGACCTTTTACACTTACGATTTTTTTTGATTGATCGCTAGATTTGTAGTAATTTCTCTAAAGGAATTTGTAGATTCAGTTCGGTACTCTTTCCAAAACGATATTGTTAGCAAAAAAACTGTGGTGAGTTAACTTTGTTGACTTCTTTTAGTTCCCGACTATAGTCGGGAACCAAAAGAAGCGACCGATAACTGTCACCAACATAGTTACCAGTCGGGTTTCGTAGCTGATTGATATATGTGCGCATCATATTGGCTTCTTTCAGTCTTAGTAAATCTGTTAAAGCTGGCCATCTTTAGAAACAAAGCTCTTTCCAGCAGTGATAGTATCCTGTTCTCAGAACCTATCTCCTTCTTCTCGTATCTTCATTATATTTCGTTATTAGCTAATCACATTTTTGTAACGTACATAAATTGACTAATTCACGCGGAATTGGCACGAACAACTTTGGCATGTAGTTGTGATCGAGAGAATATACAAGCAACTGGATGTCAAAGGTAATTCATTATAGGGTAAAATAATACGACTGCGATTAGTGAGACTTATAAAGTTATTCACCTTCTGCTCAAAACCGATAACAAACCTTATCTGCGCTGTTAATTCGCTTTGATTGCTCTACTTAATTTGAGAATTTCGTTAGATAAGTGTAGTGTAAAATAATTCCGCCTCTCAAACTATCAAAGCACCCATAAACGATGTTTGCTGATAGGATATCGAAAATAGCTTACGCCTATTTTGATCGAAGTTACGCTGACCTCCTTCAGCTAGGAAAGATAAGTTGGCAGTGAATGAAAGACCAAATCTTTGAAAGGAGCTATTTTTGCATGGCTGAAAAACAACACATTATCTCAACCAAAGGACGTTCAGTAATTATGGAGCAGGACTACGGTAGTTTATCTTGTGGATGAGAACGTTAATGGAAATTTGCGACCAAATATTAGCTCACATTTTCGAGCCGTTCCAGGCTTTTCCGGTCCCCTCTTAGGTTTTATCAAACAGCTCAATGGAAGAAATGGGGCAAAAACGTACCTACAATATTTGTAAGCTATCACCTAGTAACAATGAGACAGTATGAGTGACAGTCTATTGTGTGAGGGATTTGAATTCTATTGAGCACCACCAGGCTGTATCATAAGCTTCTTCAATGCCAGAAATATATTCCTAAGTCTCACTAATCACTGTTCGTATTAACGTCACCCATGAAACATTCAAAAGGGGAAAATTATATGGCCGGATATTCAATTTGGAAGTACAGCACTTCATATGATTTTCAGAACATAGTGGTATACGTACACGAAATTGTATTGCGCATAGTCAATCTTCAGAGGATCATTCTGAAAATAGGGTCTCTGAATGTTATAATGAGAAAATATCAGACATCTTTCTTCATGAAAGCGCCAAACATCTCCACTGGCACAGGGAAAACAATCGTTGAGTTGTGCTCAGCCCTGAAATTCAATAAAATTGCCTTTCAGTACAGATTGTCAGCTATATGTAGTTTCGTACGCAATGCTGTTGAGCGCTTGCAAATGTCGGAGTTGGAGAGCGACCGGGTTCGCTTGGATAACGTCCGCTGCTTCTTTCAGTGCTCGAGAAGCCTAGAGGAAGACACTGTGTCAGTGATGCATAAATTATAAAAATTTTCATTAGCAGGAGCTCTCACCTTCTGCTCTCCTTCGGCCGCGACTACTTTGGCGCGAGCCTCTCGTGCAGCCTCGGCTTCTGCCGCCATCGCGCGGGTCAGCTGCTGAGGTAGCCTGATGTCTTTCACTTCCACTCGCTCCACCTAGATTGCCTTCATCACGGCTCGATTAAGGATGCTCTCTAAGAAAGCGCTCGGAAATTTGCAAAAACCCAACCATCACATCCCTAATGACGCGTGCATAACAAATCTAGCATGGTATGTGGAGATAATGACATGCGACAGCATGAATCACCTGGGATGGGTTTGCAGCCATCACGCTGGATATACTTTGAGAGCGGGTTTTAAGCTTGTAGATCTTCAATTCAAAAGGCAATCATTTTGCTCAATAGAAAGCGAGATGAAGGGTACTTTTCCAGTTATTGGCAAATATAATTTGATGGGAACGAAAGAGTTCGCAAGCCTTAGAAATCTCAGCAGTAGTGGCATATACAGTAAGAAAACTCTCAAAAATGTTCACCTTCACTCCCCAATGCTCTGTTCCCTCATCGAGTATCGTCTCACACAACTGAGCGATCGCCTCACGTTCGGTAAGCATTTCTGTCAGGGTTTTCATACCTGAAAAATCTCATGGACATTATGATTGAGTCGGAAATGAAACAGAATCAATTCATAAATGCAGAATAATTACCCAGTGCATTTCTGAGTGTAGTTTGTGCCAACAATTTTGTCGAATAAATAGCGTCATCTACGTTATTTACAGAAGCGATGGGATCGGAGGTACGGAAATAGACGACAGCGTCTACAGACACCGTCACGGAATCTTTTGACAAGATTTCCTGAGGTGGCACTGCATAGGAGACTACCCTGAATATGTTTCATTCAGCTTACTTCTTGAAGTGCATATAAGTATGATTTTCGTTAATGGAGTGATGAGCAGCTAGCATGAGGAAAAGTCTTTAGGGACAAGCCATCAGTGATTCTCTTGATTTCTACAGATCTCTCAGTTTAAAGCGAGGAGATCAGCCTGCTTGTTTAAGCCGATAGTTCGCCTGAATCACATGCGGGTGCATACATGTTCTTTCTAACGTTCTTTGAAGTTAAACACAACTATATGAAACATGAAGTCACGCAAAAGTCTTATACGCTCACTCATTAGGAGAAAGCATTTCCTTCTTTTTCAAGTGTCGGTATTTACTGTGATTACATGATACCGAACAATAGGTATACAAAACATCAGTAATAGTTTTGGCAGGTGCAAGGTGTTTTCTATACAATCTTGACAATGACTTACCTGAGATCGATTTTTCTGTACGTATCAATACATGGTATGATGAATATCATTCCAGGGCCGCGAGCTCCCCCAAACACAAGCCGACCAATCCGAAATATAACAACTCTTTCGTATTCTTTTATAACCTGAAATACGTATATGAATTTGTTTACTCCGTATTCCTCTGCTTTTTCAAAGACGACAAACCTTGAGGCAAACACACATTGAGAACGGGAATGTAAGGATGATGAGGAGCCATGATAAGGCAACTAGTGCATAGCCAAATATTGTGCCAATCGTTTCATAATCGGGCGGTACATCCTAAAACGAAGTATCTAGCAAAGGTAAGGTCAACACAATTTAGGAAGGAGGTAGAAGCGATAGTTATAGACACTACAGAGTAGGTGCTCTAAACTCACTTCAGAACCATCTCGCGCTACACTATGCGGAAGAATATCCTCTCTATATGAGCATTTTAATCACAGCTTAGATAAAGAGATCTATGACTAAGTTTACATCATTTACTTGAGGGAGCGCTGACAGACTGCGGAAAAAGTTCGAATGATTCAATTTCTTAATTATTGCACCAAGAGTGAAGTGACCAAGAAAACTTTCCAGAAAGAACTGGTTTCTTCTACGATTACCCCCCATTACCACGGAGTCATAAAAGGTTCACTTGGTGCTCGCAATTCCTATGAAATCCCCACATCTCCATGAGAAATACTATTATCTACTACACTTTTAAATCTGACACGGACAATTCTGTCTCGCATGCGCTTTAATTAAACCCATTTAATCCAGAGCCTGAATGGCGAGCTGAAAAGTACCATGTACTTTGCACATTCAGCAAGCGCAGCGTTCTACATTATTCACGAGTCAAGCGCAAAGCAGAATCACGAAGCTGAAGTCCTAGTAAATAGAGTTTCAAAGCCTTTTTTCACAGCCACCAGTTTTCTAGGTACTCGATTATGTCATATTGGAGGAATAAACAATCAATGCTAGTAATTACAATTAAACTAAACGAGTGAGAGCTTTACGTTTCCTTTGAGCTGTGCACAAGCAGTTAAATCTTCTCTCTGACACTCATTCACATTGTATACATAAGATACGACAATAAACCTTAATGATAGTTTCTCGAGCTTGGCCAAACGAGCGGCAGCGAAAACAAATGCGCTTGTATGATAAAAATGGCACATTTGGTGGGACGTATTGCTCCAAGTGATTTATACGCCATTATAGAGAGCAACTAGTCAGAGTTTTCCAGTGAAACATAGTAATCTGATTGACCCATGCGTATATTTTTGCATCTACGAGCACCATATGAGCAAAGATAAATTTGAATAAAGACTGTTTATTGCCTGTCATGGTTCAGCAACTTTAATGCCATGTGTTTCTTGAGAAGTTCTTTATCAAAAACTGCATAAAACGATCTGTAAGCTCGAAGACATGGGCATACTACATGCGGTGAAAGATCTCAGGATGATCTCATGGTTGAAATGATAAGGTTAAACGCTGTTTGAAGCATGAACTGCAAAGTTCAAAGAAAATTCTTCAGCTGCTTTTCCTGTCTTAGGTTTGCAATATCTAGTTCCAAGATTAGCAGCAGAATCACCATGAAATTCTTTCACAGTGAGGATAGATTCTGAGTTCATTTCCATGGCAGAACCTTACAAGATTTACATATTCCTGCTACTTTGAATAGCGCAATGAGAATTCTCAATATACTGGCTGGCAAACCCGACGCCGCTCGGCCCTGTCAATAATGTATTCGTAATCAGCATGCTCACTTACCTCCCTGTGCCAACTCCCAGCCCCGTAGCCCAAACTTTTTGAAAAATCCATAAAATCGATATCGATCGATGACGAAAAGTAGCTGCTTGTAACACCCGCCCCGACCCGAAATGTATGTGCGCAAAGTTTGGTCCGGATCGGTTCAGAAATAAAACTTCTATTCGGAGCATACATATATAGACAGACATACACATACATAGACATTCAGCTTTATATATAAGATGGTATACAACTTTGAGGAGAGTGTGAATTACTAAGACTGTGATGGACTTGAGCAAAATGTGTTCTCCATTTCTTTCAAGAAACCTACAATTTCGCGGTCTTGTAAACATTTACGAAAAGCACACACCTCACCTACAAAAATTAAAAGTAAAAGGGTAACGTATTATGATTGATCCCATAGCTAACTCAGTACCTAAGCTGTGAGATTCACTGAACAGGGCGTTAGTTGCAAAGTGTAAGTCAATCATTTGATTATTCAATGCAATCTCAAAAAGAATTTAAAATGCACATTCAACGCCAGAACACAACAGGTTACTACGTCCAAAAATTCAAGACACTACGTCCAGTCTCTTACCAACTCGAGAGCCATGCGGAAGAAATTTTATGAACCCATTTAGCTGCAAACTCCGTAGTAAGACTAGATGAGTTGTAGAAAATTCCTTCAAGTTCTTTATTTTGAGTACAGCGGCAAGCTTCATGTACCAGATTTTGCTGTAATTTACCAAAAAGTGCTACTAGCAGAAAAACGGATTCAGAAATCGGGTTATATGATATGGTAGGATAATAATTTGACAGCGTACCTTCTCGCTACCTCTTTGAATTCACGATATAATGATTTTAGCCGACTTTGAGTCAAAGGATTTGTTGAGGATCAGGAAATATGTTTATAAGTTTCTTATCCCGATAATCTCAACGACTGTAACATTGAAATGAAAATCTCGATAAGTTGTCAAAGCGGCATTTTTGAGTTCCAGCAATTTAGGTAAGTTTTGTATTAAAATGTGCAGAGTAATTATCATTTCAGTTTGTACTCCTACGGGAAATGAAACTATGAAGATAAGAAACGAGGATTCAGGACGTTGCATCGAATTCATCAAGTATGTACTGAAAATTAAGCCTTGCATTTTTGAATTGCATTCGATCAACAGCTATTCCTTCAGTGATTTTTTGTTATGAGAAGAAAACTGAAGAGATCCAATGGCAAGTAATATGGTGGAATCAAATAAACGCAAGCCTACCATTTGTGAACTAAGCAAAATATCTTAGCAAGTTCGAGTCGTCTTCAAAACGCAGAATTTTCCCTTTTCGTTTTTCGTATCACGGGGCCCCACTAGCTGGAAAATAGTCAACCTGTAATCGTGGTTCGATCTCAGTTAGCCTGGCATCGGTGATTAATTGGAATTTTCAATGAATCCCATGCGAGCCTTCGCTCTCTCACATACATGCAGCGAATTTATTACACTCCACAAGCTAATCGAATTACCCACTTCTCGGGCATAACTAATTAACACATTGACGACAAGGCCGATTTTTCGATTACTGCCATTTCGAACAGGAGCCCTTTTTGCCCTGCCAAACTTACGACCCACCCGTGGGTCGTATGGTCCGAAATGGTAGTCTTTTTGTAAGAAATTCAAAACATGTCTCTGAGAATATCCCCACAAGGGTTATCGAAGGCGCTGATTATCAAAATATGATGTGTCAGTTTTTGGCAGTATACGGTAAGATTGCGGTAGTCACTCTGTACGAACCAAACATCACGGATTTTCGTGAAAAATTGTGTTTTGGGGTTATTTCACATGCTGATCACGATTACAGTTTCCACTTTGTTCACTACTTTCCCACAGTGGGACTACGGTAACAGTGCGGTAGAATTTTTTTAAGAATCAAGAAACTGATGTAAGAAGGCTGTATTAGAACTTGAGATTATCATTTTCGTAATCAGCATGCTAAAAAACCTATATATGCAAGGTTTGAGCTTCCTGGGATGAACAATACGAAAAATCAATAAAATCAATAAAATCGATATTTTTGATGGGCTGACATCAGTCTCACGCTCTCCCTGTATTTCTTGTGCATGTAAACTTGAATTGTCAAAAACAGCACCACTCTGCGAGAAATTCGAGCTAAAATCTGTGCCTTACCTCTATCTACGGTATACCTACCGTAACATTACATTACAGTATCCCGGACCCGGACCACTCCAGCTAGAACTTCGCCAAGGTGTCCCCAACCATGTGCCAGAATACCGTAAAATTTCATCGCATGCTCGCAAAGTTAGCTTTCGAAAACTTACGACCCACCGGTGGGTCGTGTTGTCGTCAATGTGTTAAAAACAAAATCCTCATGAGCTTTCCCATACAAAATCAGCGTCAAACGCGAAAAACTCCCTCTACGAGTTGAGTTTTTATGAAGGCAACAAAAACATGGCATGACAGGCCTTGAAATTCAAACTGCCCCTTACTTCACAAGGTGTCACATTCTCACACTAAATGTTTTTATGGAACCTCTAGAGGTAATTCTCTTCTACTTAGTTATTATCCGTAGAATTCTCACGAAGTCAAGGCAAAATTTCGCACTTCGACCCTATTTCTCAACCAATTGTGCTTCCGCTTAGATTCATTATTCTTCTACTAGTCTCGAAGTTTTGTTTTGGAAGGTGAAATCAAAAACGTAGGCTGAGAAAGAGCGGAGGAACAAATATTCGGAGGCCTAAACTAAGAATGTGGTGAGATTGAATGGAGGTGAGAACGTAGAAAAAATGTCAACCAGAAAAATTCAGAAAGATGCACTAAAAACGAACTTGAAAACATAGACAGGATTGCAAATGCACCCATTGCACTACTGCCAGAGAAGCTTGAAAAATCAAGGCAAGAGGAATTTTCTGTCAACGGATGTTCTTCCCGTGATGTTGTTTCGTTGAGCTAAATGCTAGGATAGCACATTCAGCCAATTAGGAGTAAATTAACATGCTTAGAGGTATGCATTCAAAGGTCAGAAAAGCGGCGGTGTGCATAATGCGACTTAGAACACAGAGTAAGTAGAAGCCATAGCTCTCCGGCTAGGAGGTGTTACTCAAGAAAATCCAAGCGATCAAGAAACAAAAAGTAGCGCATCCTTGAATGGCTTGACATAACGATACAAAATTAAGAAGTTAACACCAGTGTGTGCAAGTGAAAAAAACTAAGGAAACGAAACGTAAGGGACACGCACTTGCGAGGATACCTGATTTGAAGAAGGCGTAACCCATTGTGGCTCTGTTCGCTCCTTTCCCGACATCCGCCTGCAATGTGCAGATTAAGGGCTTCGAGTGAGAAGGGACGACGATCGCGTCTGCGATCAAGAACCTCAAATACTTCGTTAGCATGCGCTCGGTTCCGAGGCCGTGGCCGGAGGGAGCGCTGCGAGAAGGAGCAAGCGAAAGCGGTGCATGTGGAAAAGGCGAGAACTCACATCAGACGTGGCTATGAATCATGATTCAAGCAAGCGGTAGCAAGAGCATTCGAGGAGAGGCGCGGTGCAGAGGAGCTACACCACACACCAGCACGCACTCTGCGTAAGGTGTGCTGCTGGGCAGGACAATGGCGGGAGGGGGGGGGGCGCTGATTGCACTGAACAGCAGCTAAGTTGGTCGATAGCTGGCAGCGCTGTAACTCAATAGTGACGCCTACAACGCGCCGAAATGCATGAGGCAGCGACTACATCGCCTCTTAGGGGACGCTGCGGCCCCATCCCCCAGCGAGTACGCGCGCGATGTGCCCAAAGTGCAGCAAGGCCCGCCGACGTCTCGCCATCTTGCTGCGGAACCTCGGCGCAGTCCCTGGGATTTGCGACGGAAAGGAAAGCGGCACTCAGTTTTGTGAGCCTCGTGACTGCTTCTGTCATATTGCAAGTGAGCTCGTCTCTCAAATTTAGCTGTCAGCAGTCGTGATTGATGATGACAGGAATGGAATCGGATGTTTAACACGTATCAGGAAAGCATGGGAGCGCTGCCTCAAAAAATGCTCCTGAAAGAAATAGAGGCGCTATAACCACAGACATGAAATTGGCTGGCTACATGCCACAATTCGCTGCTGGTAAAGTACTACCCAGACTTTCCGCATTTTTGAATATCTTCTCTCAAAGAACAACTTCATCAGATGAACTACGTAAAAGTTAAGCTTTAGCTTATCCTCTAATGGCTTCCAAATCTTTCTTTTCGGTAACGATGATACTAGCGAAATCAAATGGTAGTAGACTTTGATAATTTCCTCGCTGCAGGTTTGCACTAATGAGTCACGCAAAAACATCCATTTTTTTCGTTGCGTTTGTAAGAGATGTATAGTAGTCAACACAAGGTGGAAAGATTTCTTGCTCTTTTGTTATGCACGGGTTTCCCACCGGAGCTTGAACAAGAGTACAACAACAATTAAGATTCTCTAAGAAAGCTTTTTCTACGAAGCCATTAAGAAGGGAATGAATCGTGAAAACAGCTTTTAAATAACAAAAAGGGCATGAACCTATGGTTATGACGATAGGTTGCAGACAAGCATAGTAATACTCCCTGTTAGAAAAAGCCGAACTTTACCATTAGAACTTCTTCAAAGAATCCGAGAAAAAGACTTACACTCAGCACGATGAGAGTGATTTTTCGACACACTGATTTCTTTGACCTGTTTGGGTATGATAGGTACGGTAAGAGTTTCTGACACTGTCAACGAGTGAATAATTTCATGTGTAACTACTGCCGCAAGAGATTACGATATGGCATGTGTGTCAGAAAACTTGCCCCCTTGCACAGCGTGCACCAAAATTACCAGCGCGCGCTACCGTGGGTGCCAGAAGGGTACAAACCGAGCTTGACGACGGATCAGACATCCAACTGTTTCCACTACAATTGTCGTCATAATGCGATAGTCAATTCAGATGGTCTGCTCTATTTTTCAAGATAATCTCAAATCATTCCTCCCGCTGAGGTGCACTCTGTACGCAGGCACAATTCTGAACATTCATGCAATGTATTTTTCAAAATCGTTTCTATTGCTTTGAAATTGCGCATTAAAATAAAGCAAGCCTTCGCTTCTGACCCTGTTAAGTACGCAAATCTAAAAGTTAATTCGATGAGAATTTTTTGATTTGGTAAAAAAAACATGCTTGAGAGGCAGCAAGTCGAAAATCAGTGGTACTTTGTCCTCCTAAGTGGCACGAGATCAAAAATATCTTTTGAACCAGTTTCAAACACATTTTCACGAATCGGTCATGCTAGTTACTTCTCTAAATGTCTCATATAAATAGAAATGCTTTTTATCTGGAAGGTTTTGCATGTCTGGGCTCTCACAATCGATTTTGAACATAAGGTCAGCGCGTACGCAGTATTTTCGCATATAGAATTTTGTAACTCGTAAAAGAACAAGCTTTTTCAATTGCAAAGACCACGTGATAGCTCGAGATGTGCTCTATAATCTGATCTTGGAATCGTTCAAAAGCTTTCAGTCCTTTAGTTGCAGAGCAAAACATGAAGATATAAAAATTCACTTTTGTTTTTTTAAAAACTGTTAATCTATTCAAATTCTCACATTCTAAAAACGCCCTTTTCTTATTCTGTAAAATGCCTTATGTAGAGTTTGATTACGGTATCTATGACATAAATTTCTTATACTTCCCGGTGGTTTGTTCGTGGCAGCAAATGTTGGAGCCGTTGATTTTGGCGCACTGTACATATCTTTATTCCTGGAAAGTATCAACCCTAAGGCAGGAACTACGCGACTGAACAAGTCGATTTTTCCTTGATGGTCACGTGAAAATCCGAGTCTTTTTTAGCTCATGATAGAGCATTCTCAGCTATTCATTCTCAACTTAGGCTGCCGGTTTCAATACACAACTTTCTACCAATATTTCGAGTTTTTTTTAATGTTATAATAGCATTTCTGACATTGGAGAAACAGATTTTACCCTAAACCTGAAATAACTTATAAAAGCATTACAATGGAGTGCAAACGTAATATTTAGAATCAGTATAGAACGATATTAGGAACTAGCCCCAGCATATAATCTGTTCCAAAACTACTCATACTCTAAGATCTCTGAAAGATTTTCGGTGAAAGTGTCTCATGCCCATAAATTCTCACCAACAAAACTAACAAGCAACAAAAAATTAGGCAAGCTGACACGTAGCAACGTGCTCACATCAAACATAATGCCCTCTCAACGTGAATATGAGATTTGAAAACTTTCATTTACGATAAACACTTTTTGTGGGCAAGATAATAGTAGAAAGGAATTCGCTGTTTTAACGTGGAGCGATTCGAAGAGAGAGAGTGAATATAGCTCGAGTGCGTTCACTAAGTTCGCGATTCCCTAAGCTGTCTCGTGTCCGTAAGAACAAGTTAATCATGCCGGAATATTACTTGAGAATGCCCTTGCTAGAAAGCCTGGGCGAAGTGCATAGTGGAAAGAGTAGAAGCCCTGCTCTTATGCTAAAATTCGAGCAACCACGAACTCTGAGTTAACACGCCGTAACAAATTGCGGAGCGGGCCGGAACGACGAAGGAGAGGAGAAGCGAAGAAGAGCTGGCAATTCGAAAGAGCGACTCGTACTGCTTGATCACTTACGCATAACGGATACATGAGGCCTAGGAGAATTGGGGAGCAGGCCCCCTCTCAAAGCGATCGATGCCTGCGTCGCTGCTGTCTCAGCTCGGCTAACAATGGCCAGAGACGTAAAATTCGCCTTACCCTCTAATCTAATCCACTACAACGTTCGACACTCCAATATAACTCAACGAGCCAGGCTATTACGAGCAAATGTTATTTTTGCAAATCGTTTGAGGGTGCGAGTTGATGAGCCTATCGCGGGTGATGCACGCAATAAAGCCTGAACAAAACACACGTCTGTTTTTACACTGGCTGGTAGAGTAATTACGTTTCGATGAGTTGCCACTCGTATAGTGTCGAATTCTAAGTGCAGAGACTAAAGAAGCTGATTCTATAATTCAGGGTACCGTAGCAAAGCTAGCAATCGCTCAGTAATGATGCACTTCCGTTAGAGGGTAAGAGTACAATTTTAGTGCTTCTGGGGAAGCACATTTAGTTACACATTTATGAAAGCTTTTCTAAGTCTTAAATTCTATATAGGGAACGGTATATCATGCATGAGAGAAAACAAAGAGGAAATCATGAGGAAATTTAATGAATGTTCAGCAGAAGAGCGAAAAATCCGAACTTATGAAATTTATCATGAAAGATCCAGTACAAACTTCTCCCACTCGGGGCTGAATGTTAATCTCAAATCAAACTTTTGAGGCTGGAAAATCCTTTATTGACAAGAACACTTGTTAGTGTTCGAAAATGTGTAAAATATTATATGTAACACCAATATTTCCTACTGGAAGTGTTAAAAGCTCCCATTACTTTTTACCACACTCATAAATCACATATTCTGCAAGACCCATTTCGCATTACTGCAAATGCATTATCTCTGGATGCCTCTACGGCAGGCTTTAAGTAAAAATCCCCATGCAAGTTAGCAAAAATTGATTTCTAGGATTCCAAACTTTCATTCAGAGCCTCAACAGAAGGCAAAATATGGTGTATGCACGAAATAAGGAAACAAGACTCTCAATGGCACTGACTAGTGATAAAAGGCCACCTGCTGTAGACAAAACAAATTTTTTAGCTCAAAACATTTGCGTACTCTCTTCCTGGTGACAAAAGCTCTCAAAACTGCGAAAGTCCAGCTGACTCGAACGCGAAGAAAGGCGACACGGGGCGCAAAGTGAATGGTCGCGTAAACTATTACAGCTGTTTCTCTGCCGGCCTGCGCCTCGAGCTATAATCTCGCTGAATTCACTCGAATCCAGGAGTCACAACAGAATCGCCACAGCAGCCGCTGTTTACAGATATCGCGTAGTTTTTCATATGTGTGTTCGAGCTACACAGCTGATTCTTCATCATTCGCTGGGGATGAACGCCTCGAGACGAAACGCCGCCGGCGCAGAGAGAGTGTGAGTTGGTGTGTGTACGTGCCCAAACCCCACATAATACCATCATTTGTCGTCGGCCCCGTTGAATGAGTAACGAGGTTTCAGCACTTTGTTGAAGCTGTTGACTTATGAAATATGTATGCAGAAGGTGCTGAACGACTTTCAGCCAGGAGGTGCGCTGTCCTAAACTTTCAATCTGGCTTTCCTTTAGAATAAAGTTAGCATTAGGAAGACTTTCAAGCGCGGAATTTTATTCGGGCTTTATAATAACTTTAAAACACATTTCTTGTTGGACATTGGTTCAAGATTTTTTTAGTTTTTTGAGCTAAACGTGCCAGTATGAAAAGTTTTACAACATTCAAAAATTCTTTTGAACTCTCATGACAACCTCCAACCTTCTGTTCATTCGTTCGCAAACGCGCGAAATACTGTCAAAAGGAGGATGGAGCTTCAGAGTTTTGAAAAAGTCAGAGGTAAAAGAAGAACGCGAGAATAACTTTTTGAAGGAGGACAAAATATTGATCTAAGCGATTGATATGTGTGGAATCGTCCCAGTTTATGGAAGAATAATGTCGCAAAACTTGTGTTCTGCCTGATGTCCCCTTTCAAATATCCTTGGGATCGTTATAATGAAACAACTTAGAAGTTAGAATATTGTTATCAAAAAGCAATTTCTGTATCTGTTTTTGACACTTACCTGGTTTCGGAGCTGAGAACCATACCTTAGTAGTGCAGCTTTTTGGTGCCCCTCATCAGTAGTTCCCAAGAAAGCTTCAAAATATAATCTTATGCTATCTTCCATGGAGATGTACTAAGTGAAGCATATTGTGATGGAGGAGATTGTACTTTGAGTACACTCTAACTCTTTTAAACTTATCCCTTGAATACACACGAAATTTGCATAGGCATTTTCGCCTACTTTAG